AAAAAAAAAAAAATTATACTGAAACTAAAATATAAAATACTTTAAAAATTATTTACTCTGCCTAAAATATGTTTTTGTTTTAGCCAAATTCTTAAACATCACATGTATAACAGACATCATAATGTCACGAATGACCAATCAGAATCAAACATTTCAGATGTGTAATAAATGTATATAAACATAGACATACTACACATATTATAAATAAATAACTACATATATAATTGTTTAATAAAACTTTCAACATTCTTGTCCAACTGTCAACTAATCTCGTTCACCATGTTGGAATGAATTTTTTTTATTGAGCTTGTTGCAATGCATTTTGGGATTAGGAAGGAAGAATATAGGAAAGATATATGTTATATAATTAGAATATATGATAAGAAGGTATCTTAGAAGGCAGCATAAAAATGTTGCTTGTGTTTTGGACCAGCCTATGATGCCTTAAAAGCTTTCCTAGGGACACAGCTCAGGGTTTGCAACAGAGCTAGTTTTTCCTTTTCAGTCAAGCTAACCAGACAGACACTTCGGTTTCAATAGGTTGAAAGCATAAATGTGAACTTTCTGTCTATGCAATTCAAACAGATCTGTGTACATAATTAAAGGTGAGGAAGGACAAGCCTGATTCATGATCATAAATTCAAGCCTTACATAAATTGAATGACTTGCACTGTATGTCTATGCATCTAAGTCATGACACTGTCTGGTCTTGATCTTCTAGAATGGTTGTTCCACATAGATCAGCATCTGATGCAAGTCAAAAAAAAAAAAGAAATAAAGAATGTTGTTTCTGTCTCTTTTACTTAATGCATTTATAAAATGGCATAATTCAATAGACAGTCATCCTTCACTTTCAGCCATTAAACATTTATTATCAGTCCATTTCCTTTCCTGCGGGAGCAGGTGGAATGTTTTTATGATGTATGATTTATTGATTCACAAAGCATCGTTAATTAAAATTAACCTTTTTGTGGTTAAGGACACTGCTATGCTTTTAAGTGTCTCCGTATTGATTTCAAGGAATAGACCGGGTTTTGAACAGCGGCCCTGAAAAGCAGATCCAAAGCAAATGTGAGTCTAAAATCGGTAATTATGTTTTGATTGCGAAACAATGTGATATAAAACCCCAGCAATGTCCATGGAGGCCAAATCCACAATATCCGATCCACAAGATCTTCTAGAGCACGTCTACGTAACCTAATAACAACTATATTTACAGCAAGCGAGGCATGCTAAATGCCTGTGAGAAATTTCAAGCTTCGTCTAATCAATAAAATATTATCCACCGTGGGAAAACATGCAGTCGTATTGCTGAATCGCTGCCGCTGACTGTATCAGCATGAATCGACACATCCCTCGACCTCTGGACTCGTCGCTCATCATGTCGACGTCAGGTAACGGTGAGAAACACACAAGGCCGATGTGGTTAAATTCAAAGCAGAGCATTCAAGGAGGTTCCATCGTCACAATCACTGGAGCACAACTGTCGTTCTTTGGTTGTTTATTGTGTAGTTTCAAGAGCTTCAGTGAGGGTATTTCGAAGGCCATGGCGTGACAGGAAGTGCTTCTGTCATATAAAATTTGTTTTGCTTGCTGAATCTCAAACCAGCGGTAAAATGTTTGTCATCCTCTAACAGTTGGGGTGAGCTGCCTCATCTCGAGAGACAGTACTGTAAATTTCAAGTCTGAAAAAACAGAAGCAGAAAAGGGGTGTGAGAGAGAGAGAGGTCTGCCTCTTATCTTCAGAGGGACAGATAAGAGCTCATTTCCCACTGCAGAATAGAAACAAGTGGGCCTCTCCGGCTCTCTGGCAAGAGAATGACACCATTAGCATCCCATAATGCCTCGCTCTATTCTGCACATTCCCATTTTTTGTGCGGGCGGATCACTGACTGCTCTCGCCATTTCTGCACTTCATGCATGGATCTGTTCACCTTGATCAGATGCGATTGCCACCACTCTGCCGCAGAGCCGGTGTTAGCAGATAGTTTCAAAGGTGATGCGTGGATATGAGTAATCTCGCAGCTGGTAATGCCAGGGTTTCCATGACCTCTCAGGATGATGATGTGACACTTTGTTATAGTGCAAGGCAGAAGAAAGTCAAAGCCAAGACCACCAGCAGAAAGCTTGCCGCTCCTACTATTTACCACCTGCATATTTTACTAGTGACACAATTTTTCTAAGCTCTTAAAGGGATAGTTCACCCAAAAATGAAAATTTTCATAATTTACTCCCCCTTATCATTCAAAACCTGAATGATTTTCTTTCTTCCGCTGAATACAAAAGAAGGAAGTCACATGGGTTTGGAACAACATGAGGATGAGTAAATAACAGAATTATCATTTTTAGGTGAACTATCCCTGTTAAAGTGTGAAACAGACACACTATGCTGTCAAAATAAAAATAACATACAATATAGTATAAATAAATAATGACTAAAATAAAAAATACAAATTTTTTTATTATTAAATTGTTAATATTACATTAAATTGTTGTTTTTATTATTGAAAATTAAAAACCTAGTATATTATTCAAAAGATTAAAGTCAGACTAAGTACTATTTTTTTTAAAGACATTACTAATTTATTCAGCAATAACATTAAATTGATCAAAATTGACAGTAAAGAATTTATAATATTTCTATTTCAAATAAATGCTGTTCTTTTGATCTTTCTATTCATCACACAATCCTATACAAAAAAAAAAGGTTAGAACGATTTAATGTCACAAAATTCAGCTTTGCCATAACAGAAATAAATTACATTTTAAAATGAATGACAATTTTGTTTTCAATTTTAATAATATTTCTCAACATTAATGTTTTTAATGCATTTTTGGTCAAATAAATGCAGCCTTGGTGAACATGGGATGTTTCAAAAACATCTTACAGACCCCAAAGTTTAAAATGGTAGTGTATGTAAATTAGTTGTTGTAACTTTTTAATAAATAAAATCGAGGGGAAAAAATACTAAAAATACATGCATACATTTAGTAGAGAGGCTAAAAAAAAATATTATTAGTGCAAGTCTTACAGGGCCAGCAGGAAAAAATATCCCACTTCTGAGGCATTTTCAATTGAAATTACACCATCCAAGCAATTAACATACTGCCTATACTGACCTGCACTTCTGCTGAGTTCTCCACCTCACTGCATCCATGTTCACAGGATTAGCATCTGTGTCTAGCAATTAATATTAGCAGCTATGCCCTCCCACGTCAGGACGCTCCACTGGAACCTCATGGGACGTATCGCCATACTAACATATTGCAGACAGGGTCATATCAATAGAGCCCGGCCTCAGGCAATTTGTAAACAGTACCTCGCAAGTATTTGGGCAGATCAATTGACAGAAACGAAACGCTGACAATGCAAAGCAGCACCGGTCATGCAAATGGCCAAGGCATGCCTTCCCACACAGGCTTATTTAACCAGAGAAACAGCATCATCACGACAGTCACCTTAAATCACAGTCATCCTGAGCATCTCTGCATGCATATTTAAAAAAAACCTCAATACGCTGGCTGACGTGTGGTTTTGCCGTCAAATATAGATGAGCAGGCTTTAATTTTGCAGCAAACTTACAATTATGCTCAATGTCCTTCAAGAGTGAAACGAGGTTACATTTTAGCAAATGGTTAAAGGACAAGCCATCCTCTACCAAACACTGACATATAAATTTACCACCAGAAGCATACCAAGGACTTCTCTCGCTCTCTCTCTCTCTCTCTCTCTCTCTCTCTCTCTCTATATATATATAGGAACAGAATTACAAAATGTTTTCTTAATTTATTTTTGTGGTTTTGAATATCATCCATGGTTAATACATTAGTCACAATTTATTCATTAATTATACATAATATATATTTTGTTAATGGTAATTAAAAAAAAACTATTAAAACAAAAATAGTATGATTATATGGATGATGGAAAGATAGATTAACAAATGTTCATTTTTCATGTAAAAAAATGTAAATATTTGTGACATGCTATTTTGATTTAATTAAAAAATCCAACTGTAAAATACATTTATGTATACAAACTGCTTTTAATATTTAAATTATATTGGTAACACTTTTGTATAGGGACCAGTTCTCATTATTAACTAGTTGCTTATTAGCATGCCTATTATGAACACATTGGCTGTTTATTAGTCTTTTTAAAGCAAATATTCTACATGACCATATTCTACATCCATAATCCTACCCAATACCTAAACATAACAACTACTTTACTAACTACTAATAAGCAACAAATTAGAAGTTTATTGAGGCAAAAGTCATAGTTAATGGTTTGTTAATAGCGAGAATTGGACCTTAAAATAAAGTGTGACCATTATATTAAATAGAAATATTTTTACATATTCTTTTGCAGCAACCATTTACATTATGATATTCATAATATTATTAAAATTATTACTATATGAAAAAATAAACAAACAAAAAAGTTTATTTAAAATCATATTTCTTAAATATTACAATAATATCCTGAATATATTGTAAATATATATGGAATATGTTCTATAACAAAATAACTGACTGTCCAAGTAGTAGAATCCATTAGGCTGAACATAGCAGATGCCTCCACTCTAGCTCTGACACAGCTGACATCTGAAATACCAAGTGGTCTTTGGTTTCTATCTATTGTATGAACTGATTTTACCCACAAACACACATCAGTGTCTGATAATGAGGTTGTCTAATGAGAGAAAAAGATTCAGCTAAGGCAAAGTCAAGTCAAGTAACCTTTATTTATATAGCTATTTATATAGTGCTTTATACAAAGATTGTATCAAAGCAGCTTTACAGTGTCAAACAGGAAAATAGTTTGTCATTAATGCAAGTGGACAATAACAAAGAGTACATTTTTCAGTTAAGGTCAGTTCACTGATGATTCAGTGATGTCATCATCCAGGGCTGCGTTTCTCAAAAGCATCGTAAGCCTAAGTAGATCGTAAAAACTATCGTACGACTGATCTTAGTATAACGGTCTGTATCCCAAAAGCATCGTAACTTAAGTAGCACTGGAAAATCATCGCAGATCGTCCTACATTGCTGCAGAAGTACCGACCCAGTGTTTACAAAGTGAACATACAAAGAAGATCATAACGCCCTTTACAAAAAAATGGTAAAACAGCGATGTAGGACGATTTTGAAGTTGGAGGAGAAAATGAGATGGGAGGTTTTAGACCTACCCTAACTGTCTTGAACCGGAATGCACAAGAGTTCACGCAGAGTTAGACAAGACAAGTGTTTGAGGTTAACAAGTATATAACTTGAAATTATTTTAAGAAAATAACCAATCGTTTTGCTAGATAAGACCCTTCTTCCTTGGCTGGGATCGTTTAGAGCCCTTTGAAGCTGCATTTAAACTGCATTTTGAAAGTACAAACTCGGGGGCACCATAGAAGTCCATTATATGGAGAGAAATCCTGAAATGTTATGCTCAAAAAAACAATTTATTTACGACTGAAGAAAGAAAGACATGAACATCTTAGATGACAAGGGGGTGAGTACATTATCTGTACATTTTTGTTCTGGAAGTGAACTACTCCTTTAACACACCTGGTAGCTGTTAATTCTGTAGCAAAGTCCTCCCTTATGTTTTGTTTTTCCTCTGCTGAAATCTGCAGAATATGACATCTTTGTTTCGCTCTACCTCCTCCATAAGAACATTAATGTCATCTTTTTGAAAGGTATTTTATTTCTAATCCACATCAGGTGACGACTATTCGGTTCAAAGATACGATTCTAAAAGGTAATATTTCAGCACTTGACAAACGGACAGCGACTCTTAAGTAGCACGTAGAACGCGTTCTCGCGGGTTCATGTTAAGTGCATTTTTGGGAAATGCACGTGGAATTGCGTTGAGCGTTTGTAACCTCGCGCGTAGGAAACGGTCTAAGATCCATTGTTATCTGGAAACGCAGCCCAGTTCAGTTCTCTTCCAATAGTGTCTGTGCAATCAAGCCGACAATATTGCCAGAAATTAAGCATCCCCAACAAAGAAACACCGAGGGTTTCCCCCCCCCCCCCCCATGGAAATGAAGTACAAGACATGTAAAAATGTTCAAAAAAGTAACATTTTCTCTCTGTGTGTGCTAAACTAACGCAGAATTAAGGCTGGGAGACTGCAGGGTTGTGACACAGCACGCTAGGGACTGCTGAAAGGAGTGAGGAGCTCCAGGCTGTACATCAAAGCTTCTGTGCGAATGGAATAAAGTCACACACAAATGGACTGAAACTATTGAGCTCAGTCCCTCTGCACAACCGCCCTAATGACACCTGCAGATATTCTGCATCCGCATGCAGAACAACAACACTGTGCTTAATGGGTATTTTTCTTGTTGTCCAGTAAAAATATTTAAACATCATTAAAATAAGATGCTTGAGAAGCAAAACTGTGTAAGCTAAATATTATGTAAAAACATTTTATATGGAAGCAAAAACTGTATTTTACAAGGTCACCAAACAGTTGCAAAACTAACATTTTACATTTGGGGACCAATTCTCATTATGAATTTTGCTTATTGGCATAGCATGTTGGCTGTTTATTACTACGTATAAAGCACATATTAATGTCTTATTCTGCATGAGCATATTTTAGATCCCTATACCTAAACTTAACAGCTACCTTACTAGCTAGCAAATTAGGTGTTTGAGGCAAAAGTCATAGTTAATAGTTAGTTAATAGTGAGAATTGGTCCCCAATCTAAAGAGTGACCAAATAACCTGTGGTTAAATAGGTTTCCTGAACATTTCTCCCATCGGTCCGATTTATTCACTGACAAACTCCCACTAACATTCACAACAAAACCTTTCCCGTGGGAATGCAGACATGCAGCATATCTGTTTGTGTTGGTTTTTTTTTGCTATAATTTGAGTAAGAGGAATCATAAACTGCAGTTTTTATCTGACTGTAGCTGTTTTCCTAAAGACAAACAGACTGTCTTTTGTTAATTGAATTAGGATATGGTTGTGTCAGAGGTTATTCTGCTTTACCTGAGATGAACTATAATTAAACTATGAAGAGTAAAAGTGCTATAAGTAAATTCAGATTGACAATTATTGATACTTGCAAACAAATAAAATAAAATAATTACAAAGTGAAAAAAATAATGAAAGTATGTTTCCGATTAAAAGAGTTTTGTAAACACAATCATCAGTTAAAATGAAATATTCATTTGAACTAATGATTGGATAAACAATAATGGATTTGACTGTAATGCTGGACTAAAGCCAATCTATTTAATATTTAATCTTCAGACACAGCACAGAGCTTCAGAGAGGTTAATGTGTGTGCCATTTTAATAAAGCTTTGTGAACAAAGTCAATTAGTTCATACAAAAGATTAAAAACAATTCTAAATTGAGATTGAAAAATTGTGAGCCCATGTTTTCAGTATAACTGCACTAAAGGCAAAGACTCATCACCTGAAGTATTCACTGCATCCACTAATTCGTTTTTGAAGTTCCCAGAAAGGCCATGTTTGAGCTTACAGCAAGCATTATTAATAATTATTTCTTAGAAATGTAATTATCGGAGAAAAAAAAATATGTTTGTAATAAAATAAAACCAAATCTGTATTCACTGTCTTGGCCAAAATACTGTCTGTTTGTAATAGGCCAGATCTAAATCAAGTTGTATATTGTTTCTAACCGAGACATTCTGCAATCTTTAAGTAAATACACACAGGGGAAATAAACAGATGTACAGTATATGACATATATTGTGTTAATTATACTGTTATAGTCAGTACTTCAAAGTTTATATAACACTATGCGTTATATTAAATGTTTTATTAAAAAAAAATTAAAGTTAAACTTATTTATACTATATACCATATAATATATAATAAAAAAAAATCTAAATAGAATATTGTTTTATGCTTTGATTTATTGGAATCTTTTTGCCTGAAGCAAGTAATGAATGACAATATTTAAAGCAAAAAATAAAAATAAAGATATCTACAAATAAATAATATTTAATAATTTAGAACAATCTTATTCGAAACAGAATAAAATAATTATGATTAGAACGTTTATAAAGCGAACGATGCAAAACGAACAAAGCAAAATTAAAAATAAATGTGCTTTGTGGAAATGTTGATATTATCGTCATCTAATTTTGTCTGTACATGCACATTTGCATATGTACAGAAAAAATGTGCTTGCATCCATATGATGTTTAAATCAGTACACATCTGAAATAACTTCGCTCTTGACAAAAGCAAGAATTCTTAATGCAGTGTACTTCCTTCTTTACTGCCACGTTAAAAATTAGAACTGGGTACAAACTATCATCCCCTTCAGCAATATCTAGGGCAACTGTGAAATACTTCCTCCTCATCCTATTAAGACACTGACAGAGTGTGGACTGACTCAACCTTCTTCAACAACATGCCTCCCAGGGAAAGCGAGGGATCGAGCGAGAGACCGACAAATAGAGAGAAGACAGGAATGACTGAATACCTCTGTCC